GTACTTTTCAGATTTGTAACCATTATAAGTAACAAACTGCGTTCTATTTGACAAGTAAGACCTCATAAAAGTCACGGCATCCTCAGAAAGACCAAAGAGACACAATTTAGAAAGTAATACGCCGTGGTGAATTCTGTCGAATGCCTTCGTAAAGTCAGTATATATGACCTCAACTTGACTTCTATTATCTAGGGCTGCTGAGATATATTGTGTGACCATTAATAAGTTTGTCACAGTGGACCGATTGGAGACAAAACCATGTTGATATTGAGACAGCTGATTACGAGTGCGTGAATAAATACGATTATACAAAACTATTTCAAAGACTTTCGATAGATTGCAAATAATGGAAATTGGTCTGTAGTTTTCTACCTGACCCTTTTCACCAGTTTTGAATATTGGGCAAACTTTTGACTCCTTCCAGAGACTCGGATATTCCTTATGGATTTAAGAAGACATAAATTAAAAATTTTTAAAAGTGGTACAGTTAAGGCACCTATACAATCTTTAACCAAGAAGGATGGAATATTATCAGGTCCACACGTCATTTTGTCTTTCAATTTCTTACTCGCAAAAATTATCTCAGACTCTAAAATAGGATAAAAATTTAAGTAATCTGCGTTAACTGAGGAAGAGTTAGCCTTGAAATTAATATCTGATGACAGAAAAACACTCTTGAAAAATTCTGCAAAAACATTCACAATATTTTGTGGGTCGGAGGTAGTAATGTCATTATATTTCATCACACCAGGAATTCTTGAACTATTATTTTTTGAATTTACATAAGACCAAAACTTCTTGGGGTTGATGGATAAAGCAATTTGGATATTCTCGACATATACATTGTGTGCCAAACTGATTTTTGATTTGACAAGATGTCTTAACCGTTGAAACTCAAGCAAATCACAATGATTTTTGAATCGTTTAAACTTTTTTCTAAACTTTGCTTTTAATTTGATGTTGTGAATGATATCAGCATCGAACCAGGGGGGGTATTTATGGCTAAAGTTTTTATAAACTGGAATATACTTATTAAACACAGAAAAAATCTTACCATAAAAGTTATTTAAAGTCTCATTAACGTCATTAGAAGTATCCAGAGAATTCCAATCCGTTTCATACAGTTCTCGATATAAAGCAGGAAAATTTGCTTTTTTAAAATTGTAAGTTAATTGCTTCAAACCACACTTAAATTTAGGCTCTTTTACAAATATATCCGTAAATGTTATTAGAAGAGCTGGGTGATGAGAGTCTTCATAGACCAAAGGTGAGTCATCATGCTTCACTTCACAACTGAAATGCGATAAGACCAAATCTAGCAGTCTACCCAAATGATTAACAACATTGTTAAATTGTCTAAGGCCAGTAGAGCCCCCAAAACTTAAAACTACAGAAGTTTTGAAATCAGACATATCATTATCTATAAACCTTGAAACATTAAAATCGCCTAGTACTATACAGTCATTATTTCTTGTAACACATTTATGCAATCTACGGGTAGTTCCATCCTAGTCTTGAAATTTATCAAGCCCAGGTTTTTATGACATTCTAGATACGAACGTCCTCTGATGGGGAATGTGACTTGAATAGTATTTCGCTTTATATCGTGGACAATGTAATGAAGTAGCCGAACAATCGTGAAATTTTATTTTGTCCGCCAGCTGAGTTGCAGAAAATGTGAATATGATGGACTTCTGTTTTTAGTTCATTGAAAATAAAGAAGAGATGAAAGATACGAAATCAGCTGATAAGAGAGAAATGATGAAACCTCGTCGGATCCTTTCCTTAACACATATTCAGGATATGTAGTAAAAAAACAGGATTTTCCTAAAGACAGTACATAAATGTTGAACGAAAACTGTCTCCTATAATCCTACTGTTGTCTCCCATAATTAACATCGTTAGTGCTGATGCAGCACAAGCAGGTTTCGTCCCAGGACGTGGTACTAGAGAACAAATTTTAAACGTACAGCAGATTGTAGAAAAATTCAGAGAATTCAACATCACAACATATTTGTGCTTCATAGATTATAGTAAAGCTTTCGATTTGGTCAACTGGAGTAAAATGTGGCAGGTTTTGTCTAAAATGGGTGTCCCTAATCATCTGATACTGCTAATTAAAAGCCTGTACAATAACAATTATGCCAGAGTAAGAATAAATGGGGAACTAACTGACAGTTTCAGGGTCACAAAGGGCGTGAGACAAGGCTGCATACTAAGCCAAATTTTATTTAACATCTATAATGAATGGATAATGCGGAAAGCTACTGAGGACTGGAACGGTGGCATCACCATTGGCGGGAAGAAGATTTGAAACTTAAGATATGCAGATGATACTACTATCGTCGCTAGTTCTGAAACTGAATTGATTCACCTACTACAACGGATAGAAGACGTAAGCTTAACGATGGGCCTTAAAATAAACAGGGATAAAACGAGAATCATGATAATTGACAGAGCTAACAACAATCAAAATCATCTTGGTTAGGATAAACAATATCGCTGTTGTAGGAGGCTGTACTGAAGAAATAAAGCGGCGGTTAGCAATCGCAAAAAGCGCTATGGCAAAATTAACAAAAATTTGGAAAAGCCATGAAATTACTACCGAAACAAAAATGAGACTAGTAAGAAGTCTAGTTTTTCCAGTTTTTACTTATGCATCGGAATGCTGGACCCTTACTGAGAAAGACAAAAAGAACATAGATGTATTTGAGATGTACTGCTGGAGACGAATGCTGAGAATACCATGGGTGGTAGAATGCCCGAAGAACAAATGAATCCATACTGGTCCAGCTAAACATAAAGAAAAGACTAAGAACACAAATAACAGAACAGATAATAAGCTATTTTGGACATGTGCTTCGAAGAAATGGTCTTGAAAAACTTACCATCCAGGGAAAAGTAGAAGGCAAAAGAAGTAGAGGTAGATCTCCTACACGATACACGGACCATATTGTTGCTACCATTGGCGCTCCATTGTCAGAATGTGCTAGATTGGCAGAAGATAGAAAAACGTGGAGGAACATTGGAAAAATTACCTAACAGCTTCATGATATCACGATACCTGCATCAGGTTAACGACTAAGAAGAAGTGCTGATGCGTAGCGTGTAGCGAATATTTTTCTGGTAGTCCATGGCGGTTGATTCATATTCAAATTTTTTTCTAGCTTTTATTCGGGCAGCTAGTTTTATATCATAAAAAACTTTGTCATTCATTTTTCATTTCATATAGAATCTCTTGACTTAAAAACAGTTTACAATTTCTTAGCATAAAATATTTAACTAACCTTTTCTACTATATAAAACATAATAAATTCTTTATGAAACAATGTAACAATCTTGAATAATTATATCTTTGTTTATAGTATATACAACATTTAATATCTGATAATAAAAATATAACAAACACATAAAGCAGACATAGGTATATATTAAACAATATTTTTATTTATAGAAGATTAGGTATCTGTCTATCTTAATTAACACTATTTAGTACACTGTTGTATTTTAATTTTATTAATTGATAGACAACAAATTATATTTTAATACATAAATTCCTTCTTTTTCTTATAAATATGGCATATCCCCACATATTTTTGTTTAGTACCTAGTCATGTTAATGCTATTTTTTCTTTCTTTCAACTACTTTCAATATCGGATAATAAACTGCGAGGCATAAGTTAGGGATATAGCTTAATCAATAGATATTATTCATAATAACAGTCTTAGATTAATCTTAGGGGCTTTCCCAACTACACCTGTATCCAGCATTTATGCTCTTTTAGGAGAACCATCGCTAAATCATCTCGTGTACCTCGCTCTATCACATGCAGCCTCAGCCGCTTGCAATATTTCAAAGCCAATATATCAAAACAATTTTACAAATAAATATGTAAACTTATTCCAAGATATTCGCTATACTAAAATACCATATTACGAAAGAATTAAATCCATTCTTCAAAACATAAACATTAATTTTCCGGAGGTTTTCTCCTCGGACATTAAATACCCCGAGCCTTGGCTGATCGATATACCAACTTGTAATACATTTCTAGAGTATTTAGATAAATCTAATATACACCATTCTTTGATTCGATCCAAGTTTAAGGCCCTCATAAATAAGTACCCCGACTACCATAAAATCTACACAGATGCATCTAAGTCGGAAGACGGAGTGAGGGCATCAATCGTTTCTTCAACCCCCAGCATGTAGCACATATTCAGCTGAACTCTACGCCATATACCGTGCTGTGAAACTTCTTAACGAGCTTACACTCACAAAAGCCCTGATCATAACAGATTCCCTTAGCTCTCTAAACTCATTAAAATACATTTTTCCGAAACATCCTTTTGAAAAGTTGCTAAAATACCAGATTTTCCAAGCTCATGAACATGGAAGAAGCGTCCAATTTTTATGGGTTTCCTCACATGTCGAAATAACAGGAAATGAAGAAGCTGACAGGACTGCACGAGAGGCTATTTTAAGTGATTTGTCGGAGCCGATAGACAAGTGTGTTTTCAATGACTTGTAAGCTTATTTTAAAAGTAAAGTGTTGTGTTTGTGGCGAAATGAGTTGTCTCAAACTAATTCCAATCTAAATAAAATCAAGAATAATGTGTCTCAGTTTCCATCGTCGTGTAATAGACGAGAACAAATTGCGGATGCGCGTTTACGTCTAGGACATACCAGATTAGCGCACTTCTACCTTTTCACAAAGAAAAATCCACATATATGTGATCAGTGTAACGTCCGATTAACAGTCGAACACTTTTCAATACTTTGTAGTAAATATGACCAAGAAAGACAGCGCTACAAGATCCCAAACGCTCTACCACAAGATCTAGGTCAAAACTGTTCCTGTGACAATATAGTGAATTATCTCAGATCCACTAACATCTTGTACAATTTGTAGGTGTTTAACTTTGTTATTTATATTTTGTTCCGTAGCTAATAACCTTTTGGTGGGTGCGACATCTTTTTCTAATAAAAAAAAAATATTTTAAAACAGTAAGTCACAATTCTTTATTAATATAAATTTATATTTTTTTTATAAAAATAGTTTCTTAATAGTTAACCTAACAATCACAAATACATTAAAAAATTAAAATGATTTCACATTTTGTTCACAGGCGACTTAATTGCAGAATTATCCGCATTCTTATGTTTAAGATTCTTTGATTCACCTAACATATTTTGTATTTCTTCTAAAGATTTGTCACGGGTTTCAACAACAAACACGTGAATAAAAACTATTGCTACAACGCAACATCCGCTAAAAAAATAAAACAAAGTACCTATTCCCAAAGATTGAACTACGGCTTGAAAATACTTAGCAATAAAAAAGCCCATAACGAAAAAAATAAATATAGTAAACGATAATGCTAAACTTTTTACTCTAGCTGGATATACTTCACTGGCAACTAACCAGCAAAGAGCTCCGAATCCAGAATTGTAGCTAAAAATAAATAAAGTTAATGTAACGATTGGGATAAACCTTAAACTCGTCATGTCATGTCCGGAATTATCGAATATGCAATATGTTCCTAAAACTACTTGTGAAATAATCATTCCTATAGCAGAAAAAGTTAAGATTGTTTTCTTATTAAAAAAATTTACCAATACTGGACACATCGCACCACTTGTGAGCTGCATTGCGCCTAGTATTATAGAACAAATTGCAGGAGTTAAATTGGCAGCCGTTAACTCGAAAATTTTTTGACTGTACATAAGAATGCAATTCACGCCGGTAAGTTGTTGAAAAATCACAAGCATATTACCCATAAAAAAACTTTTCGCGAATTTTTTTGTTCTAATAACGTCCAATAATCTACCTTGTTGTTGTTCCCTAATCTGCGCTTTAATTTCTATAATTTCGGTTTCAATATCGTGTCCATGAGGTCTATACGCTTCAAGAGACTCTTTGGCTGGTCCTTCTTGGCCTTTTAAAAGATAAAAATAAGGAGATTCTTTACAAAATATCCAAGCTAGAATGGTAAATATAATCGGGAATGGAATTATAATGCAATTAAACGCTGTTACCGAGACCCAGGGACCAACAGAATAAACAAACAAATCTCCTATAGATTGGGCCATACCGATACTTGTCATAATTGTAGATCTGTTAGTTTTACTAGTTATTTCACTTAAATAAGTAATTACCAGTTCAAAAATTCCGCCTATGCTAAGTCCCATACAAAATCTAGCTATTAAAAACACTGATAATTTTGGAAATGCCGCCATTACTAAACAACTAACAGCAGCAGGTATTCCTAAAGAGCTGAAAATAACTTTTCTTCCAACTACATTAGAGAGTAAGCCAAAACACCAACATCCAACGCAAGCTCCTAAAATTACTATGGATGCTATCCAGGAGTCTTCTGAACTGGTAATTGTATAACCAAATGGATTTTCCGTATTGTTCTTATACAGTTTAGGTATCATAGGTGAAGACCAAACAGTGATTGTTCCAAGCATCATTGATGCTGAAAGACCTAAAAAATACTTTGCATAAAGACTTCCATAATTATTGATATAACAAGACAAATGTATACGAAAAAATCGGATAACAGAGAGTTATTAAAGCCGTAAGATAACAGCCGAGAATACAATCGAGAATATAAATGAATTGTAAAGACATCTAACGAGTTCATGAGGAGTAGGTTCCCTTTACCTAAAAAGCAAATTAAAAGAATTAAAAATAGGACAGAGAGAATTATAAAAAGAGATGCCAATTGTAAAGTAAAGATAAAAATGGAGGAGATTACCTCTAACACGTAAAGGATTTTCTTTAATCTTGTAGGCATCAGGGATAAGTAATTGGAGGCAACATATTTTTCTTCAGTAGTGTTTACGAAGGGCATTGTATCTCACCTGTTTACACAAAGAAAGTGTGTTTCACAAGGTTCAGTTAATAATCCAATACTCTATGTCTTCGCCATCAATGGCATTTACAACAACATTTTTGCTCCAGTAAAATATATCCTCTATGCAGATGACCTACGTTTCTTTTATTGTACTAGTACCCAAACAACCTCAAAACTACAAAACCAGCAAGCATTCTATCAACTAGCTAACTGGTAAGCCAAATTAAGTTGTAATTTCGTAACTAACAAAGTAATAATATTTTCTAGAAGAAGAGCCACTATGCTAAAATCTAAAATATATTTAAATGTAGTGAAATCATGTATTTGTAATAAATTTTAAATGTACCTTCGACAAAAATCTACATTAGAAGTCATACAAAAGACAAGTTAAAGTAAATTATTGATCTGCTCTAAAAAACATAATAAAAACGCTGTCCTATTATTAGTGGGGTTCTGAAGAAGATGTTTTAATTACAATTTATAAGAAGCATTAGATCCAATGCCAATGCATTTTGCATTTTACTCCAATGCATTTTGCAGGGTAAAATTAAAGGAAAAAGAGCCCCAGAACGAAGAAGAATATCCTGGTTTGCTAACGTGAGAGTATGGTATAGAAAGACCTCAACACAGCTATTTCGTATGGCAACCAATAAAATCATCATAGCCAGAATGATCGCCAACGTTCGGAACAGACAGGCTCCCTAAGAAGAAGAATTAGATCCAAATTAGATTATGATAGTTTTATCTACATGACTGCAGCTAAAACTGATATAGACATTAAACAGCGTGCATTGTTTGGGGAATATAGTCTCTGACCACTACCTTGTAAGAACAAAACTTAGGGCTCGTATATCAAACGCTAAGAAGGGCCATAGCACAAAATCTACGAAATATAATACTGATGTGCTAAAATCTAAATACGCTATGGATAACTATGTAACAAGAATGGGCTGAGCGCCAATGTAACAAAAATGCTTTGTGCGCCAATGTAACAAAAAATGTCTGAGGAATGTAACAAAAAATGTTTGGAGTAATGGAAAAGATGATATATAATTTAAAGCTGGCTAGCAGAAGTTGCCGGAGAGTGACTACTTGACACACAAAGGAGGATTCGGCCAATTTGCATGCCCTACAGAGACCGTAGAATAAGAAAATGAATGACAAGGTAATAAACAATATATAAGAATATAACTAAAATAAATAAAAGTGATTACAGAAGTTGCTCCAAAATGTGAGTGGGCGCCAGGAAAGTATTTACATAAACTTTCCAAGGTATCTTGCAAAGCTATTTGCTGACATAAAAAAGGATATAGGTATGAATTGAAATATTTAGTTTTCACCAAAAACTTAATCCCTACAGATATATACAATCTAAATTTACCCTTAAATACCCACCACCAATTATGTACAGTTAATCTAATTGCTTATATACAAAAAGAAAAAGAATACCCTGGTTACACACAACTGATCCTTGATAATCTGAATTTATAAATTATAAAATATAAGAATAAATTTAATGATAATAATAATTGATCTAAATTTACAAATAATAAGATATAGGAAGATTTTTAATGATTTAACAAGTAATAAGGACACTATCCTGGCGGGATAAATGTCCAAAGATTTAAATATGTAATAATAATAACATATCAGTAAATAACTCTCGGATTAAATGTGTACACATAAAACCGTACAACCGAGTTATAAGGGAGTATTTAAAACTCAACCTGTAATTGACAATTAGTCCTTAAACGTTATTTAAAATTAGTTTAAAAAAAATGACGGGTCTTTATTATTAGTCCAAGTATGAATATTTAAAGTTAAACAAAAAAAATGGTATATAAAAGCTATTAAAATTGAAAAATAAATCCAGTATATAGAAAGTAGGCGACAAAAGAGCGGCCAACTCAAATGAATAACATTAAAACCAAATAAAATTTCCTCATTTCTGAGTTTAGAGAACTTCCTTTAGCTAGAGTTAAGACCAGAATGCTCGCTAATTGTTAATTCTCAGTCGGATAGGCATGCCTGCCTAAAACAGCCGCTGAGGTCGCTATTTAATATTAACTTAAATTTTAAGAATTTAGAAAATCATTAAGAGGATTTGATTTTAAAAATTTGATTTAAAAATATTTAAGGATTATTAAAGTAGCGGACTCGTTACAACTACAGGAAAATTTTAAATGAAGAGCTGACAAGAATCGACAAAAATTTAAGTATAGAAGAACACTATATCAAATGCAAGAAAGCTATCCATACGGGGGCTAAAGGCTTTTTAAAACCTAAACAGGCTAAAATAAAGAAAGATTGGTTTGACGAAGAATATAGATCCATTACCCAAGACAAAAATGAAGCATATAAGAGACTTTTCGAGTCTCTGAACGATCAAAACGCTCTAAACGAGATTATTAACCACCATAATAGAAAAGACTCGCAAAAATTATACCAGAAGATAAACAGCTGCGAAAATGAATTCAAACCCAAAATAACAGCATTTAAAGACAGAGATGGTTCCATAATTAGTGACAAAGAACAGATACTAAGCAGGTGGACGAATCACTTTAAAAAACTGCTTAACGACAGTAATGAATTTGCCTGAAATGGATGAAAATGCTCAAAAGGCGCCCCCCACCGAAGAAAAAATTAGAGAAGCCATTTCAAAACTAAAAAATAACAAAGCCCCTGATTTGGACAATCTTAATGTCGAACTCTTTAGAAATGATGGTGATACCCTTTTTAAACACATGCTTAAATTATTAACCGAAATCTGGCAACGGAAGGAAACGCCCGCAGACTGGAAATTAGGTGTAATGCACCGTCTTTACAAAAAGGGAGATATGATGGTGTGTGATAATTATAGAGGTATCATCCTACTTAACGTGGCATATAAAGTATTAACCAACGTATTGTACAGAAGTACACCGAACTATTGTACCTAACCACAGTCAGGCAAATTCTTGAGAAAACTCTTGAGTTCGGAGTCGACACCCACCACATATTCGTGGATTTCAAAGCCGCATACGACTCAGTCAACAGACACAAACTCTTACAGGCTATGGTAAAATTTCAAATTCCGCTTCATCTTGTTCAACTAATGGAACTTACACTAACAGGCGTAGAGAGGAAAGTCAGAATCCAAAACGAGTTTTCAAGACCCTTCCATTGTAAAAATGAACTAAAACAGGGAGATGGACTGTCGTGTCTGATTTAACCTTACACTGGAAAAAGTAATTCGAGAGTGTCATATAAATAGGAATAACACCATCTTTAATAAATCTGTACAAGTGGTCGGATATGCAGATGACATAGACATTATTGATGGGTCCACAGAATATCTGATCGAAGTATTTCGATCATTAAGGGCATCTGCACTAAGAATGGGATTAACAATAAACGCACAGAAACCAAGTATATGTATGGTAATAGATCAGGCAAATAGATACCTAGACTATTCAGATGTGGCACCTTCGTCTACCTGGGCTCGCTGCTGACCAAAGACAACAATGTCAGCGAAGAAATTAAAAGAAGAATAGTGCTTGCCAATATTATGGCTTGAGGAAACAGATGGTCCCAAAACTACCCAAACAATATTAAAGTTACTATATACAGTATGATGCAAATGTATGGAATAAATTCATTATTTCAGACGACTTTTAAAAAAATCTTAAAACACGTTAATTTTAATTTTTGAATGGCTGTCAACTGCTATATATGTGTTGGACATTACGTCATCAGTGTCGGCGTAATGACGTAATCGACAATTTTTTTAAATACAAACCAAGGTCTCGCGATAGCTCATTTGAAAGGTCCCCTTATTGCCTTTGCAACGATATAATCATTTAAATATTTATTTTTACAGGGTTGACCAAAATTATGAACTTTGTTAAGTAACATGGAGTTACAATAAATGTTTACTTAAATACAATTAAATTACAACAAATGTTCAAATTGACGACCTTCAGCAATAATACAATGTGAAAGATGGGCAATAAATTTTTTCATAACGTTTTCGATGACTTCAGGTGTTATTTGTGCAATTTCCCCTTTGATGCGCTCCTTCAACTCTTCTACAGTATTCGGTCGATTTTGATACACTCTGCTCTTTAAACATCCCCACAAAAAAATCTAACAGAGTCAAATCTGGAGATCTTGGTGGCTATTTGATGGACCCCCTTCTACCTATCCACCTACCTGGGAAAACGTTATTAAAGTAATTTTATACCTCAACACCGTAATGTGGGGGAGTCCCATCATGCTGGTACCACAAATTATTTCTATTTGGAAATAGCTGTGGCAACAGATAATGCTGAAGAAATTCTAAATAACGAGAAGCAATTAAGTTGTCCTCAAAAAAATATGGCCCTACAGTTTAATTGTTTATAATGCCGGCCCAAACATTTACCTTCTCGGGATATTGTGTCCCATCTATACTCTTCCATCCAATGTGGATATTCACTTGCCCAGGATCGATATGTCTAACGATTTACGTGACTGTTCAGCATAATAGACGCTTCATCAGAAAAACGTATCTTTTGTATGAAACCCTGATGTCTGTTTCCATAACGGTTTTGCAGAATTCGATTCTTCTATCAAAGTCATCTTCTAATGGCTCCTGGACCAGATGTACT